CTCAGAGCTCTCTACACACACACACACACACACACACACACACACACACACACACACACACACACACACACACACACTAGGTTGGACTTGATGGACTAATGTCTTTATTCAACCTCAAATACTATGTAACTGTGTAATATGAAGCTATAAGGAAATAAGAACCTCCTACTCCCGAACTTTCTCTCTGTGAGGGTAAAATCTGACTCTCAAATTATCAGCACTAAGCTCTTATAAAATCTGGCAGAGTTACCCCCCGATTCACATTTTGCTTTTTTCAGCTAAGCAGAGAAATAGTTTATCAGCTTTATAAATTGATGAAACCAAGAATAATCTACGACAATAATCTACGAGCTACCCAACGACAACACCACCCCCATTTTGATTTGGCCCCCCTGAAGTTCCTCTTACCTATGTCGTCTCCGGAGGAGAAGATGGCGGCCCCCAGACGTGAGCTGTAGTGACTGTTGGCAAACGCTGTGAAGCTGTTCTGCAGCCGCCGGTGCCGCATGTACAGTATGACGAAACCGCAGCCGGTGGCCACTAGCAGCAGGAATAGGACTGGGACGACGACAGCGGCGACATCCGTGGATTGGACACCGGTGGAGGGCTGGGCGTCCATGCCTGACAAGGAAACAGATGACAGGTGCTCTTACATTTTTGTCCTTTATAAAAAGTCCCCATCACCTATACAAAACAGAGGCAGATTGTGACCGAAGTTTCGGACTGTTGAATGTCTAAGAACTGGTGACAAAAGCCTCCTAAGCTCAGCAATGTCACCAGTCCCTGCTGACCAGACCAACCCAATAGTGATAAATGATAAAAGATTTCAGGTATATACACTATATGGCCAACAGTATATGAACACCCCTACCAGTGATGGCGTTCAGGTGATTCCAGTTAAGGGTTCTGTTAATACTGCAACATACAAAGACATTTTAGACCATTGTGCTCGTCCAGCCTTGTGGTATCAGTTTGGGGAAGGTCCTTTTCTTGACCAGTTTGGTGGAGGAACTCGACTATCCTGCACAGAGCCCCGACCTCAACCCTACTGAACACCTTTGGAATGATTTGGAATGGTGATTGTGAGCCAGGTCTTCTCATCCAACATCGGTACCTGATCTCATAAATGGGCACAAATTCCTACAGGCACCCTCCAAAATCTTGGGGAAGCCTTCCCAGAAGGGTGTAGGATTGTATAGCCGCAAAGGTGGGGAGGGGGACACAACTCCACAATAATGGTGATGGTTCTGGGAATGGGATGTCCCAACAATCTCATGCGTGTGATGGTCAGGTGTTCACAAACTTTTAACTATATAGTAAATGTTATGCTGGCAGTTCAGGAAATTTGTCCCTTGTACAGCTAACCTGAGAAGCTGAAGAGACCGAAGCAGCCACATGAGTAGGGGGAACAGACGGCAATACTAGACACCAGATCATATTATTTGTATTGCCGACTCCTTTCCTCCAGCAACTTCAAACGCCGGTTGGGTGTTACAACTGTCTTGCGTTATGAAAGTTTTACAATCACATTAAAAGGAGAACTATGAGGTGAGTGAAAAGCACTCACCTCATAGTTCTAGCCGACCTGTGACAATGAGACTGTCACAGGTCGGCTAGAACTATGAGGTGAGTGAAAAGCACTCACCTCATAGTTCTAGCCGACCTGTGACAATGAGACTGTCACAGGTCGGCTAGAACTATGAGGTGAGTGAAAAGCACTCACCTCATAGTTCTAGCCGACCTGTGACAATGAGACTGTCACAGGTCGGCTAGAACTATGAGGTGAGTGAAAAGCACTCACCTCATAGTTCTAGCCGACCTGTGACAATGAGACTGTCACAGGTCGGCTAGAACTATGAGGTGAGTGAAAAGCACTCACCTCATAGTTCTAGCCGACCTGTGACAATGAGACTGTCACAGGTCGGCTAGAACTATGAGGTGAGTGAAAAGCACTCACCTCATAGTTCTCCTTTTAACCTTCCTAATCAAAAGTAACAGCATCAGCCCTCCTACTCCATTCTATGCAGGGTAACTTTTTGAACAACCAGAAACGGTGCTCTCGACCTACCAGTCCCGAGCTGATCAAAGAGGAGCAGCGCCGGCTCCCCGCAGAGCTGATCGCCATATAGACATCGCGCCTGCACGGTGAAGGTATAGTTATGGCCGGGCTTCAGGTTGGAGATTCGGAAGTAGTTGTCGCTGGTGTTTCCGAGGTTGATAGATATATTACTAGAGCTGTCATACATGTGAATGTCGTAGCCCTGGGAAGGAAGGAGGAAGTATTCAATACAAATATTACATTCCTAAACACTGCTAGAACTATGAGGTGAGTGAGAAGCACCCCCCCTCATAGTTCTCCTTTAAGGGTGTGTAGTTTGAGCATTCAGTGCAAAGAAAGGGATTCACCTGAAAGCCAACCCTTGCAGCAGTTCATACTCACCTACTCGCTCACTGCCATGTGCCAGAGCCCTCTGCAGGCTCTATCTCCCTGCCCGGGCCCCCAGCAAACTGGGACGCTCTGGCCGGCATCCTGCCCAGCTCCTTGCAACTAGTGACATCACTGAGCAGGGCAGGGAGAAGTGTATGGCTCTTACACATCTTCCCACCTGGCTCTTAGAAACCTGGGACGCTCTGGACGGAAAGGGGCGAACGCTCTCCCCCTAACATGACCCAAAGAGATGCCATCTGAGGCAACAGCCTTGGGCTGCCTCATTAAAGGGAAGGCCCTGCACACTACAGAGACTCTAAAAGGAGAGATCTTCTGACCTGATGAACTGGGGGAATGACTAATAAACAAATCTATACTCACTCTGGACTCATTGAAGAATTTTTCTCGCAGGGCCAGGCTCTTCCAGAACAGCAAAATGTGATCTCTCTCATAGACGAGCTTCAGGCCTTCTGGTGCCAAGAGAGGAACTACATGCAAAAATTAAACCGGTTAAAGAGCTCACATTGTCCAGAGAATATTCTGTATCATTTCACATAATCTAGATTCTAGGCTGTGCTTTAGTTTACAGTCACGTGCTAAGATTGAGTTAAGTGTTTGGGACCACATGACCCACATGTCGTGGCTAGACTTACTCACTGGGTCACGCGACTGGGGTATCAAGGCTGTGAGCACAGTACTGTTACCTGAGTGTTATTGCTTAACTTGCGCTCAGTCACATGACTGTGGTGTCAGGACTTACCTGCACTTAGAACTATGTCACATGACCTGGGTTTTATGGTTTCACCTGTGTTCAGCAATGAATCAGGCGACCTGTGTGTCATGATTTCACCTGCACTCAGTGCTGTGTCACATGACCTCGATGACGCAGCCTTACCTGTGATCAGTAATGCATCACATGGCCTGGGTGTCATATGTTTTGCCTACACTCAGTGCTGTGTCACACGACCGGGATGCCAAAGCCTCACCTGTGCTCAGTAGCGCTCCACGTGCCCTGTGTCATGGCTCTCAAGGTCACTATGTAACCCAGAAGAAGGGACCCTGTGTGGCCCCGAACCATCGGCTGCATGACGCATGTGACAATTTAATAAAAAGTGCTTTGCTTCTTGCACATATCATCGAGTGCTGGTGACTTCTATTATGGACTATACCTGACATGGCGCCATCCTTGTCGTCACTTCAAGCACCAACCTTCCTGTAGTGCTGGCTCAGGTTGCAAACCTACACACAGACACCATGTATCCATTCCAGAGACAAGGCAGTCTGCTGCAAAACGGAAGTTCTGCAGAGCATGAGAAGAGATACGGATTTAAAAGGAAGAGCAGCAAAGAGAAGGGAAACAACCATGCATTACAGTAAGGCGCACATTACAGTATTGGTTTATGTTACAAAATCTGAGGGTTTCATGTCACTTTAAGGTCTGTACGCGGTATGGAGTGCAGGTGATTTCGTATTACTGAAATGTAATTGCTTCGCATGGACTCAGAGTTACATGACCCCAATGTTAAGACTTACTTGCACTTAGAATTATATCAAATCACCTGAGCTTTATGGTCTCACATGTGCGAAGAAGTGCATCACATGACCTGGGTGCCATGAAGTTCCGTGTTACATGATCTGTACAAAATAGCCTTACCTGTGCTCAGTAGTGCATCACATGACCAGGGTATAGTAGCTTTAGCTGTGACCTGGGCTAACCTGCACTCTGAGTGCTGAGTCACATGACCTGGATGTTGTAGCCTCACCTGTGCTCACTTTAGCGCTGGCTTCTTTGCTCATGTTCCGCAGCTGAACGATGACGTTGTATTTGCCGCCTGGCTCCAGGTTTCCAATCCTGTACTCTATCGTGCTGTTCTGAGTAATCACTTTGTAGCTCTTCTCTGTCTTTTTGATCAGATCCTTCACAGACACGATGTAGGACTGCAACGGACGGAGGAGTGTGATAATGTCTTATGAGATTACAGGTCAGTTTATTGGAGATTACACAGCATGTAATCCAAGTGAAAGACATTCAATGGTAAGATCAGGGGTTACACCCACTCACCAATTCACTGTCCGGCGAATCGTACGGAGACTCCCATTTCATTACAGCGAATGCTTTGTCGGTGTACACGGCGTGCAGGTTGCGAGGCGGTAAGCGGTTGTCGGGAATCATTTTGACCACAACATAATTGGATGGGGGGCCCCTATAAGGGCAGATAATGCGGACCTGAAACATGACAAGAGCATTTTATTTAAAGCCCATTTCCAGGCACTACAGATCACTGCATACAAGAATGGTAAATATGGTACAGCATGCATATAAAAAAGGCACAACAAAAGGCTTTGCGGTATAAACATTAAACAGTTACTAAAGATCCACTCTGAAGGTTTATTTTTGGGTCACATGATGGGTGATTCTTCCCCATGGATCCTATAACACTCCTGCCGAGGCACTTCAAGCAGCGGCTCCTGCACTCCACACCCCAGAAAATGTGTCTTCCTCCCTTTTAATCTTGGGAGAGGAACTGCTTGGCTGCACACTGTTTACATGTGATCTCGGCGACATCGCCAAGTTCACATGTAAACGAACAATCGGCCGCCTCACTCTACATTTAGTCCTGCTTGTGCAAAGCAGGACTAAATGTAGAGAGGGCAATCTACCTCCCCGACGGCCGGAAACTTCCCCACAAGGACACGCTGCCGCCCCTCTGCACCCCGAGGCCGGGCCTCGGTGGCCTTGTGCGGAATCCGGGCCTGCTCCTTACCAGAACCCCTATGTATAAAGGAGGGTGCTGTAGTAACCACGGATGGCGCCGAGCATCTTCAAATATATTATAAATGTCACCAGCACACCTGTGTCTTGACAAAACTGTTTTGTGACAGTCTGCATGAAGAAGATGGATTATTGACACGAGACATAGGTGCGCCGGTGACACTTATCATATATTCCTCCCTTTTAAAGCCTGCAAACAATTTAGCATTCCATTATGAAATGACCACTCGGCGGAGGCAGATGATCACAAGTCCTCCTTACCAGGAACAAGTACTGCTCGTCTCTGTTCACCATGATGGTGACGTTGTGTAGCGTCGTCGTGATGCTCTGAGGGTTGCGGTAGAGCTCGAGGAAGGACGTGGCGTAGAACAATCCATAAGTCTGCATGCGGAGAAGATTCACAATGTTATACAACCATAATGACCGCGAAATGCCCCAATCACGGAACTTCATTGCCGAGTAATCTGATTTTACAAAACTAAATGTAAAACGTTGGTTGGAAAATGAACGGAAACAGACAAGAGAATGACCCGTACCACGTTCTTCACGCCAACCCAGCTGCACTCCACCGCTGTCTGATTGGTCGCTTTCACCTTAAGGCTCGGCGCAGGCAGTCTGGTGCCCGTGGTGTTGAAATGCTCGAAGGCCACCGGGCTCTCTCCGAAGTCAGACTTGGCCCAAGCCGAGATCTCGTACGCAGTCTGCGCCGTTAGATTGCCCACTGAAAGGACAAAGATGAGCCGTTGTTACAGGCCTCTCCTCTTCCAAGAAATGATGCAAACATATCAGACTAAGGCTAATATCGGGAATACAGGAATCGTTGCTGCTGGAGTCTACAGAGGTATCGGCAGCCTGTGTGCAGTCTTGGCATAAGTGTAGGGGTTCACAGAACCCAAGCCCCAATTTAGGTCGTGGAAGATCAGGTGCTAATTGCCAAAATGGCCTCTTCCTTTGCTTCACAGACTGACCAAAATACAAAGGAAAAGATCGGCTGCAATCTGAGAAATTCTAAAACTGGTAACTTTATTCATCCAGAAAACATGAACAGAGAGTTCCCGGCTGAGACCTCCTCCACTGACGCATTTCACCCATAAGCCCAGTCCTAATCATAGAGGCGTTGTGCTTGGAGGAAGTCCCAGGTGGGGATTTTCATATCATGCTGCAGATGAATAAAGTTACCAGGGTTTGAATTTTTTCTGCAGTGCAGCCAGGCGCTCCCTTCAGATTTGTGTTATAAGGCTAATACATCGGGAAAAATGGACAGAGCGAGAACAGGAGTCGGGGCCAGGCCCCATCAGGAAACCATGGCCTGCAAGTGCTGGGGGGTGAGGGGTCGCTACTTTCTTTATTGGCATAACATTGGTGCAGTTGGATTGCTTCTAAAGAGCTTCAGCACTATTTCCACACCTAAATCATGATTTGTTTTTGGTCACAAAAGCCTAATACAGCTAAATATAGTACCCTGACCCTGACAATTAAAGCAGATGTAAACGCAATATCTGGATGACGTTTAGGTTTGCCACGTGCATTGTGTATTGTTAATTGCCATTTTAAAAATATATAATTTTTGTTTTCATCTTGGAGCTGCTGATCCAAGATCAGCAGCCACTTCCTGTCTACATGCACCCCAGCAATGTCTGCATTGCATTTCTCACGGTGGGTACCCTGATGGTGATAATGGTCACCATCCCTGTTTACCGAACGTCACCATAGCCACTAGCAATATTCCCTGGAAGCCAGTGCAAGAGCATTGAGAACTCTCTCCCTACCGCCATGTGACAGCGCTGGGCCAGTCAGCAAGCACCAGTGCCATCATGTGGTCACCTGCTCTCCTAATTCCAGAATTACCGGGTATGACTGATCACTCCCAACAGCTGAATGAAGCAGAAGGGGACCATAAGCCCTGGTTCACATCTAGGCGTATTGCATATGCGCGTCTGCCGCGCAGGTTTTTTACCGCGATTCGCGTTAAATAAATTGCGCGGCAAACGCGCGTTTCCGAGGGCTACTTGGCTGTAACCCAATGGAAACGCGCAACAAAAACGGCCCAAAGTAGTACCTGTACCTTTTCAGGCGTGGGCCGTTTTGTAGCGCGTTAGGGACGGGCGGAAATATACGCCGAGGTGTGAACCAGACCCATTGAATACAATGGGATTTAGATGTTTGAGCGTTTTGTAGAGCGTTCGTCGAGCGTAGAACGCGCTACAATACGTTCAGGTGTGAACGAGGGCTAAGAGTATATGCAGCTGGGGAGCGGGGCGTCAGGTGAACTTGTTTCAAGGGGAAAGCTCAGGTTCACATGCACACAGGTAGTGCACCGTTGTGCCTTGTCCTGCGTTGTGTAGTGCATGTCCAAAATACGGCCACAAACTCAAGCTCCAGATTTATGTAACCAATCATTGAGCTGGAAAAGCTAGAAAAGCAATAAAGCTCAGAGGAGGGGACCTAAGATAAGACTTGATTGTGGCATCACTAAACCTTCGAATCAGCAGATATGCGGCATTTCATGGCAGCAGGCACGCTGCTTGGATAGAGGAGGGGGAGACTATATCAAGCCATTACGTTACCTTTCTGTGTCACAGACTGTCCGACAAGCTCCAGAACGGTGTTCTCCCGCACGTGTTCATCAAACTCCCACCATAGAGTCACTGTATAGCCCGTTATCTGCAAAACCGCCAGCGCAAAGTGATTACATCCCCTCAGATTTCTTAGAATATATATTCAGAGACATTCAACGTGGAAAGATATCACATTGCAAGGTACCTGAATATCCGAGTCTTCTTTCACCGTGATATCCACCGAGTCCTCCCCGACATTCTGGATTTTGATGGTGGGCTGCGGCACAACTAAGAGAGGAAGGGGATTTAGATATGGTGAATTATGATGGCTGCCTCAGAGCAAAATGGAGACTCCCTACAACCCAGGCGGTTCTGTATTGCGGTGGTTCTGTAAGATTTCATTTCTTAAAAAGGACTGGCCGAACCAGGAGACAGCCAACCTACAACCATGGGCACATCAGTGGCCTCTCCTGGTTTAGTAGAGACTCCGTAAGGGCACAAATGAAACTTGTCAGACTTTTAGACACAGTCTAGACCCTGTAGACCACTGGGGCCCAACGGGTGGCACAAATATCCAGCACTTTAACAATCCATTCCAGATACATTTTGAAACAATGAAAATTACCTTTTTTCCAGTCAGTGGTGATCGTCTTGGTGTCGCTCCATTCCCCCATTCCTCTGCTGGTGATGGCAGCTACCTGTAACCAAGGCACAAGATCACTATAAGAATCAATTCAACCAAAATTGTGCATTTTTACTGTAGAGCAAAGCTCTTAGTGTCCTGCAGGAAGATTTTAAAGGTCTCGTACCTGATTCTGGCCATCTTAGTGTTACCACCCACTTTCAGGCATCTCCTTCTGCTACAATATAGGTTTCCTGAATGCGTGTGTGTATGTAGGTGTGTGTATGTAGGTGTGTGTGTGTGTGTGTGTGTAGGTGTGTGTAGGTGTGTGTAGGTGTGTGTGTGTATGTAGGTGTGTGTGTGTATGTAGGTGTGTGTGTGTATGTAGTGTGGGCCACTGTTATATAGGGTGTATCTGGGCTGTGGGCCACTGTTATATACGGTGTATCTGGGCTGTGGGCCATTGTTATATACGGTGTATCTGGGCTGTAGCTCGCGGTATACTGAGAGCCCCCAGCTGAAGCGGATCCTGACAATTATGCCGGGACCCGCCCAGCTGCGTGGCACACACACACACACACACACAAATATAGATAACACAGACATATACAAATAAAACCAGCACCCCCTCCACAGTAAAGTAAAATCCATGCTCACCCTCATCAGGTAGACGGAGCCGGTCTCCTGGAACTTGATATCGTAGCAAAGGTTCTGCGTACTGTAGGACGTCCACACCTTGGCTGAGTTTACGCTGTACTCTACCTAAAGACAGGAACAGGCTGTCACTTGACCGCACTCCAAGCTAAGTGAATGACAATAGGTTATACTGTAGCAGGAAAACAAGTCGGTATTAAGTCCGAGTCTGATCTGCCTCATAGCTACCAGCAGATTGCAGCTGTCAGCAGCGCGGGTCTGAAAATCGCTGCTGTGGGATATACAGACTTCTTTTAGCTGACATTATTATTATACAGGATTTATATAGCGCCAACAGTTTGCGCAGCGCTTTACCATATAAGGAAGACATTACAATCACAATACAATTTTAGATGGTAAGGAGGGCCCCGCCCCTGAGGGCTTACGGTCTAAAAGGGAGGGGCAAGTAATACATGAGGAGGTAGCTGTGTGGGGATGAATTGTTTGAGAACGTGATGGTTGGGGTACATACATTGGGGTAAAAGGGACCCGGGGTAAATACAGCAAGATAATTAAGGTGAAAAGGGAAAACAACTTTAGGCAAGAAGAGCTAGGTATCAAACCTGAGAATGGTGGATGGAGAAGAGGGTTGTAACCCCTAGGGCAGACCAGCCACTTGTCTTTCTTCTAGTGTCCGATCCTAATTTGGACAGCAGTTTAACCCAATTGTTTAAGAACCCTGCGTCCCGCAATAGATGAAATATTAAATAGCACAAGCATTTCATATCAGCTACTCCCTGGCCAGGAGAGGGTTTTTACTTTTTCTAGGTGTGCTGTGAAACAGGCCTGAGTAGCAGAGGAGATAGCAATACATAGAGTGCAGAAAGACTCAATGGCGGGATCTTGTGGCTTAAAGTGACATTAAACCCTCAGATTTTTTTAACATAAACCAATATTGTAATGTGTGCCTTAAGGTGCCCATGCACCTTACGACCATCGCAAGACTTTTGTCTTGCGATGGTCGTATGCTTATTGAAAGCTTGTACGATCTGCCCACCTTGGACGGGCAGATCGTACTTGCGATCATCGAAAGCCCGCCCCGCTGAGGGGCGGGCTTCCAATGACCGCAATGCAGAACGGGCAGT